TTTAAGTAATTATAACTGCACCATTATCATATATATATATATACATGAATAAGTACTATTCTGATCATTCCCATATTGATTTCAATCTAGAAGCCACCGGTAGACAGTGGGCAGGCGGTACTCGATTGAATAATCAAGAAAAGTACTCAAATAAAATACTGCGTGAAGGCAAGCGCAAGCTGAAGTGAAACATTTCAAACAATTAACGCAACGTACCTATACCTACATTATGAAAGTAAAGTTAAGTCATAGTACGTTTAGAATAGATAATAATACTTTCTTTCAGATTAAATGCACAATGGAAAATTCACAAGGAATAGAAACAATGACTACATTCAATTTAATTATTCAACAACTCGTTTAATTAAGTAATAATTTTCAAAACTACCTGTTAAGTGTGTGTAAAAACATTTCTTCAGCTTGTTAAGAAATGCGGCAAATGAAAAAAAAAGATGTGATGATTTACCGTCTAATGAGTATATGCAGCTACAGTGAGGTCTTAATTTGCATACTCCTCAGGTAGTGAGACGCTTTGAAGGTTTTGTGACCTAACTCCGATCTGCCTACCTCCAGATCTCGTCACTAGTCTTCGCAAAGGTCTCAATCAACCCACAGTCCTTGCTTGGGAGTTGACAGATTTAGACCGTTGTGAACGTCATTGACGAGAGGTGGGGGGTAGGTAAATTGAGACCTCAGGGTAGCCATACTTTTCCAGTTATGGGAAATGGTTTCAATGCCGAAGCCAAATCGACGAATAAAGACAAATTTTAGACGCGGTTAACCTGGACTTCAGAATGTCAGATTATTGACGGCAACGACTAGGTTGGACGAAACCTTTGGTACTACAAGTTCTATTCGACCACGACCTTCTAGTCCGGATTTTGTTTTCTCTAATCATGAATCCGGCCGTGAAAGCCCGTGTTCTCATTAACGCGTCATTTATTTTGAATCTAAACATTCTATGATATTGTAATAATAGTTCTCTAGGAAATATAATATGGTTTGTGGGATGATGATTGAAACATTTCATATCTCTAGATGATTTGCTTTTCTGTTGCTGGTGATTGCTCCGTTTTTACCGCCAAAACAGTGATTCAAGACTAACTTTGAATTTGATAACGGTTTGGTATAGCCAGTAGAAATTATTCCCATAAACTTGGGAAACTTATCACGAAAAGGATTCGATAATTGGTTTGTGAATTCTGACTCCCCGGCGTTCATGCCAAATAATTGGCTCATATAGACAAACTAGCGACCCGGCCCGGCTTCCCATCAATAACGAACTTATATGACTACTTTTTTCTGTCATCATCCTCAGCTTGTCCATTAGGAAGGTTCCTGTTTTTACGTGGGTGCTTTTGAAGATATAAGGGCTGGATGTTTCGCCTTCTGAAAAGTTTGAGAATAGTCCAAAACGTTTGAAAGTATTCTGAAACATTCCACAACCAGAAAAACCTGGAACATCCAGAAATATTCTGAAATAAAATGAAATGTTCGGGAATAATCTTAAACGTTTGGGAACATCCCGGAATATCCCAGAACATTGGAAAACGATCAAGGGCATCATATATTTTCACCTGAAAGGTGCTGTTTCGAATATATAAGGTTTGAGAGTACTCGAAAGCATTCAACAACATTCTAGAACATATCGGAACATCATGGATTGTTGTTATTGTTCGGGAACATCCAGAAAAATTCCAGGTCTTTGTGAAACATCCCAGAACAGTTTGAAATGATGTGGAATGGTTTAAATTCAGTTGTTCGTGTGATAGTTTTGATTCTTTGATAAGGAATTAAGTTATTGTGTGGTCCAAGGGGCAATTATAATTTGCATGAAATGCTTGAGGCAACCATAAATGGCAGCTTCCCGGGTATCACCACCGCCACGACTTTTCGCAAATAACATTGTCACGTTTCAACCAATTGACACAAATATTTAATAAATCATTCACACACACTTTCCTCTTGAATCAATCCGACCATTGGTGAAAACTATGAAAATTCGTTCGGTAGTTTTTGAGTTCATCGCATTCAGACAGATTGACATGGCAGGGAATTTTAATTTATATGTAGTGATTTCTGATATCTTGTGATATATTCTTGCTATTTTTGTAGAGATTTTCGATTAGTTCCAAAATAAATACTGCCCATGCTTCTCTCTGAATNACTAAGTTTCGGTTTATTAGACCATTTTCAAACATACTGTTTCTATCTATCTATACCTATTGTAAGTTTTGGGAATATTTTCAAATTGTCCTGACTACTTTTGAAGAAAAGATAGTTTCAAAATTGTTAAAGCTTTGAAAACTTTTCTATCAGGCTTTTTTTACGTATACACCTATAAATAACTATTATTCTGAAGTTCTGGACAAATAGTTTCTATTTAATTAATCTTGTCACTTGAGATTGTGGTTTACTGGATGTCAACATTGAGTATGACTCCAATAAGTTCAGTTCATTGTATAAATTGTTGCACCGAATTTGGATGTTTGGTATTGAATATACGAAATCCTATATAAAACATTAAAAGGGGTAGGTATTCCCTGTTCAAAAATATTTGAAGTTTCAGATGTTCTGAAAACTGTAAGACGATTTTTGTGCTACGCGGTTTCTGGTGAATTGAATTCATAAAGTGGTTAGGTTCATTAGAAGAAGAAACTGAAATTTTCTTGTAATTTCATTCTTTTGCCTTCAAAATACCAAAGTTTGTTTATTTGTTTCAGAAATATCACGACGTAAATATAGATGTAGTCAGAAAAGATGGTCTCATTCTCATCAGGGAAATGGCAACGGAGGTCAAAAATATGATGAGATTCAAAATGAGTGCCGTTATGGTAAGTCAGAATGTTTTCGTTGAGGAAAATGCTTATACTCAGATGTGTGCCTACATCGAAAGTTGTAGTGTGAGTTGACAGGGTACCTACGAAATCTCTTCATCAGTTTTGTCACTATCAGTTTTGGTACTATCTTCTGGTATATCTTCAACATGATATTAATTAATTTCTCTACATTATGCTATTTCTTTCCGTTTTTTTATTTGAATGATTTCTTTCCAATGATCTTCTTTCATCTCTAGAGTGAATTATTCATAAGGCCCCCATTTTAATGATTGCTGCGCAACAGCGTAAGTTTCGGTGTATCGGGTTAAAGATTGGTTAATTTCATTTTCTCCCATTCTATTTTGGAAATTTTCAAAGCATCCATGTGCGGTATGTATTTGGTTCGTGTAGGTAGTATACGTAACAATGCCTGTCAAGAATGCTCCTTCTAGTCTACTATCCTAATCTGGAGTTTCTTGATAACGTCTTTTTCAATTCGTCGATTTGTCTGAATCCTTACGAATATCAAGAACCTCTCTTCAGCTCACAGTCCACAACTCCAGTTATAGCTTGTAGAGCTTCTGTAGAGATGTTCCAAGTTTGGGCCTATTATCCGTGAAACACGCTTTCTATGCATCATTTTGATTGCTTTTTTGTAGCATTGCCCATTGCCATCTTAATACTGTGTGGAAAAATGAACGTTGTATAATATAAACGAAGTCAATTCGAATGGTATGAAAACTATGGCATGGGCGGCGTGGTAAATTCATACGAGGTCTAATTTTCATGTGATAGGTTTCATACGGTATTACCGAGTAAATTCATCAGACCCAGAACGTTAGTCTTTTATTTAGCTGTTCGAATTGACTTCGTATAGGCCATATATGAAATTTGATTCTATTACAACAAAATTATTTTTGTTTGAAAGCTAAGGACCTTTTTTTCGTTTTTCTTGTCATCATCCTCATATCATCACAGTAATCACTCTATCAACTCACATTCCTTCTAGGTATCCTATTGATTGTTTTGTCAAAAATTGTTGAATATTATCTGTATTTCTCTTTCTTTTTATTTCTGAATTCTTTCCGTAAGATTGCCCCAACTTTATTTGATATACACTTTGAGTTATTGTCCTCCATCCGTGCATTTTTATGCCATAATGATTTGTCTGGTCTGATCTTTGGTTTATCTTCATCTCCGGCGTTAACGATAATAATCAGGCCGTTGAGTATGTTTCACAAGATCGATACAGTTCTTCCTACGGTACCTCGATTTCCTCTATCGGCTCCATTTTTAGTTTTCTTCGTTTGAAGTAACTTCCATCTTTTATATCACCTTCTAAATATTCAAGCAGGGGATATATTTCGACTTTGGATATTTTCTAAGTCATCCCAGATGTAGCGGTATCAACAATCTTTTCATCACCATTTTACTATGTCACCATTTTATTATGCCTTCTTATGGGATATTTAGTAATTACAGTCTAGCATTCAATATCTGCAAAATGCAATTCGGGGCACCTATCGTTATTTGTAAGGAAAGTACCTGCCTGAATTTTATCAAAGAATGCCATGGCATCTACATGGACTCACTTGTTAAGATATGTGGTCTGTTGTACAATATTTGTTGTGACTTGATTTTATTTCTTCTGTCAAGAGTTATATTCTTCAATNAATTTTCGTTTCGTGTGGGGAAGTTTTCTACCAAAGGCTATTGTAATATCAACCTCCAAAAAACTGTGTGTTGTGCGATGGAGAATCAATTAATTGTTGTAGAAAATGCAATGAGAAATAAGTAGCAATCAAGACATATTTTTGATTTTATTTCCTGGCATGTTATTTTAAAAAGGTTCAAATTATGAGCCATTTCGTTCCATATAAACATACTCGTATAAGCGATATTTGAAATATTTTCGCACATTTTTTATCGTTTCTGAATGTACGGCAAAATGCTCATTTACAATTCTACCTCGTAAATCATCAAGAGAATTGGACTATAATGAACACTTTGTCTGAAAAGTCTGATGGTGTTGCATCAAGAGATCTCGCAAGCCACTCTACTGGTCCGCGCCTTCCAGTCTATCTTTCTGTGTATTTTCATTTAAAAAATTAACGTACAGTTGCAACGCCATGTGATAGACTTCTATTTTGTAGAATGGATGATTGCGAGATTTTCAGTTTTATGAAAAAGTTGTAGATACTTTTTTCCGTTGAGTTTTTTTTGCACCAATGTGAATTCATAGCAAAAAAGTATCTACAGTGTTACCATATCCACATAAATAAAAAGATTCGTCAGAAAGGCATATAAGGCAGATAATTTTTATCACTGAATAATAGCTGAATTGTGATTTCACAAAACTTTAAACGTTTCATCGGATGATTTTCATTCAATTCAATGAGGTTAAATTCAAAAATATTTTATTTTGGATACCATCTATATTATTGAGATTTTTACATGTCCATTCTCATGCAAGCCTCTGCAGAAAGAGTTTTTTTATTGTTCTGTAAATGAAGTTCTCAAAATGCAAACAAAATATGCAACTTCAAAGATGCCTCTTTTAATTTTCTGTTTCTTAGGGAAAACTTGGTAACAGATCCCAGAGATCTCTACTATTAAGTAGTCATTCAACGATAATTGTAATTTTTTTCCAGTTCAATTTGAATATTTGAAACGTAGCTTTCATATACCAGCTTGGAAGTATTTCAATAAACCTTTCAATATCATGAAAATGAGCAGCAAAACAGCGTTTAATACTCCATCACCAACAATTTTCTCAGAGTGATAACATTTTGCATTTCATCATTTCGTCAATGAAAAATAGGGGTGCAGAAATATTCCATCAGTTCAGATTTCCATTGTCTAATCTAATATAAATTGATTTGATAACCCTGAAAAAAATCAAAAAGATTAACCGAAAGTAACAGTTTTATTAAACAAAAAACTGAAATTACAAAGAAATAACATACTTAAACATACTTAAAAAGTTTTAAATTAATTAACAGAGATACTTTAAAGGAAATTATTTTTGAAATGGCAAATAAAGGAAGTCCTGATGATATAAATGCAGAATTTTTAAAAAATTGTTTTGATAATGTTGCAATGCCCTTAATTAATGTCATAAATACTTCTATAGAAACCAGTACCATTCCATCAATCTTAAAAATTTCAACTATAACACCAATTGCTAAAGTTGCTAATTCGAATAAGGCATCTGATCTTAGACCAATCAATATGCTCTGTACTATTGAGAAAGTATTGGAAAAAGTAGTCTATAGGCAACTTGTTGAATATTTAGAAGAAAATAGTTTGTTAAATAGTGTACAGTCAGGATTTAGGGGCAAACACAGTTGCGAAACAGNTTTTCAGCTTTTATTAATATTTCAATTTTTATTTGCTTGGTTGTTGTTGTATGTTATTTCTTTGTAATTTCAGTTTTTCGTTTAATAAAATTGTAATTTTCGGTTAATCTCTTTGATATTTTTCAAGGTTATCAAATCAATTTATTTTATATTAGACAATGGAAGTCCGAACTGATAAAATACACCACAAAACATTGTCAACCACCTTCAAACAAAAGGCGTGTAGAAAGCTAGTCTTATTGCAAATTATTCCTCAAATCCTCCTCTGATTTCTTGGTGATGGAAATTGGCTGAAGAAGAAAGAATATGTCATGTGTCGCATGAAAGTTTGCTGGCCAAACTTCGATGCTATGGCTTGTCGGATCATTTCTGTGTATGGCTCTTCAGCTTCCTGAAAGAACGCTCCCTGCAAGTGGCCGTCGATGCATATCTCTCGAATACTTTCACCATCAACGCTATGTTTCTCAGGGATCAATATTGTTTCCAACCCCCTTTTTATTGTATATCAAAGACTTATTGGGGAAAAAAAGCAAAAATCCAATATATTGCTTTGCTGACGACAACACACTTGTCATTCGTTTTGGATTCCAGGACATCGGCTACGGAGGTACATCTTCACCGGCAGCAGGTTATATATTGAATCAGGTCTTCATAGGGATAGTTGTAGACAACATTTCGTTAAATACTGAATCCTCACTCAATTCAGCATCTTCATTCTCCAAGTTGTTTGCTTGATTCATAAAAGGTATAACACTGATTCTCCAGATATACATAGAATCCACAACACAAGACAGAACAGTAGTAATAATATCCATCTGCCAATACCCAGATTGACTCTAACAAAACACTCTAACATCGGCTACGGAGACACACCTTAATGAGGATCTAGATTCTAGAAGTTATTTCGAATTGGGGTGGATGTAACCAGGTTCAATTCAATGCCACAAGAACCCAGGCATCGGTTTTCTACAAGAATGTAGAATGTAGAATGAATGTAGAATGAATGTCTCCGAACTGGATATAATAATGTCAGGTCAGACAATTCCCCTTTCTCCTAGGACTAATTTGTTGAGGGTTGAAATGGACACCAATATGTCTTGGCACAACCATGTCGGTAGAATTGCAAAGGCTGCTTCTCAAAAGCATGGAACACTGTTCCGAATCAGAAAACTGTACCTACACACCTCAGCAACTTTTGATGCCTTATAAAGCTCAGATCAGACCTTCTTTGTAGAATTGTTTCCACGTATGGAGCTCTGCCCCCAAACATGCCCAAAAGTTGCTGGATTCCATTCAGAAAAGAGCCATCCGCCTGATTGGAGAACCGAACATCACGTGCAACCTTGATAGCCAGGAACATCGAAGAAGGGTTGAAGATTTGTCTCTCTTTTATAGATACTTTCACATGAAGCGTTCAAGTGACTTGGCACATTTGATTCCACCAAAAGCGGTACATATCAGAAATACGGGACGGACTGTGGCTGCTCATCATTTTGAGGTTCAACTCAGTACACCTCGAACTTCACTGTTTAAGAACTCTTCCTTCTGGAGAACTGCGTTTATGTGGAATAAACTTCCTGAGAACGTGTTTCCAAATGGATTTGATCTCCAGCGATTCAAATCCAATGTGAATCACTACTTTCGCATAAGCACCGCTCTGAGAACACTTTAATGATTTTCCTGTAGTGCTTGTGTATTGTCCTTGAAGTAAAATAAGTTTTTCATTGTCAATCTTGATTGTCAAATTAATCGAAGTAGCAAAAGTATGCATACAACTTGGTGTTTGACAATTTCTTTGAGAAATAGTCATAGCAGACTGTAGCCTGACAAATGTTCGACAAAAAGTGAGGTGGAAATGATGAATTCTTCAAAATTATCTATATTTTGGAACGTACATTCTGAAAACATTTGGAAGTTCGACAAATATATGTAGAAGTATATTGTGGGAACTTTAATCAATGAGCTTTTATTTCAATCTGCAACATATTTTACCATAGTCTATTGTTTCCGAGATATAATCGAAAAACCCAAAAATGGGATTTTCTTTTTTCGCGTCTACTTCATGCTCACCTCCCATGGACGGAGACTTTTAGTACGTTTACCCATTAACTACTCCTCTAATTAAGTAAAGAAATACTCTCGCATCTTTCATGCATTTTACATACAACATGTTTATTTATTGGACTAAAATGGTTCCCCATCGAAATAAAAAGCGACGACTTTTTGACAAGTTTTAGCTGAGACATATTGTATAGCGATCGTGCTAGTATCATTTAATCTATTTAGGTGTTCACATTTTCAATTAGTAAATTCAATAATCATGTACGAATGCTGCAGAGGATACTGGATTCAGCAGAACAAGCTGCTCTCACTCCACGTGCTGATAATGGACAGCCCTTCCGATACTATAACGCAAAAAGACTGAACGCCTTCGGGCGTGATGGCAGGCCCGCAGAAGGCAACAGAGAACTAATGCTTACTCCGAATCCTCATTTCGATCATTTACCAGTAAACACTAGCCTTAGTACTATTTTGATGGCGAACAATGTTATGGAAAGCGGTAAGTTGCATTAAGATTATTTTTAAATTTCAATACAGAATATTTTAGTCGATATTTCGTTTTTTCTTTGCTACCTAAAATCTGAAACTTTATGAAAAGTTATCGTTGGAAACATTTTAAGCGAATTAGATTTCTCGCTCATCCAAAAATTCAGTTTTCAATTTCAATGACATAAGAATATTTTTTTGGTTTCAACTCGATTTTTCTTGTATACTTTTTTTAAGAAAAAGTGAGTGCAAAGCTGAAAGAAAAAAATAAAATTTCCTAGAAATGGAACACTACGATATCTATATTTCAATAGCTTGTAGCTACCTTCATTTTGTTGTAGCCGAATTATTGAATGAAACTTGTAGATCGATTATAAACTGTCATGAGATTATTTCAGTGGTGTATTTGGTCTAGTGCTCTATCGGGGCGATCATTCATATATAGTGCGGACGCAGAAAATCCCTCCCCGTTTTAACTTTCAGGCCCATCATCAGTATGATGCAGTCAAAAGCCCGAAACACGTGTTATGGTTTGCCACTTTTTTGAGTGCTATGTCCGAATATTAACTTCTGTATCTATATCAAGACACTCAATGACCTTCATATTTGTATTATTTCCTGAGCCCGGATGTCACGCAGATAGCTATAGCTGCATCCGTGGTGATTTTGATAGTTTTCTTGCAAACACAAGATTTATTAACTGAAACCACAAATGTCTGTATATATAAATAGAAAGAGAGAAATAAAATAATAATTATTCTCAATCTATGTAAAACATGCCCTGAAAATAGCCTATTTTTTTTCTTTTAGTACAGATTATATGTTTCATTACATTTATTCCTGTTGAAAATTAATCTCTATTTATCTTGCTGTCTCATCAACTTGTTCATAAAGAAGTTCTCTGTTTTTACATGCAGAGCGTGCATTTGAACATTCTAGGGCTGAAAGTATGAGCCGACTTAACTTACAAAATGATTCACTAGGACGTGAAACAAAACTAACACAATAGAAAATTTTCTTCCACTCAAGGAAACTATCACATTCAATAATAACAATAATATGTGCTCAGGACACATTATTCTCGGACCCAATGATCACTTACCCCACGGTGTGGAGAGTGGTCATTGGTTGATAATGCTGGCGCGCCCTCCCGAATGTATCGGGGCTTCGGGGGATAGGGCCTGACCAGCGCACACTACGGTGGAAAAAAAATAATAATAATAACAAGTGTTGCACCACCACTTACCTGAGCAACTGGTACAAAACCAGACCGGCAGCCCAGGCGCACCCGAAATGAGAACACTGTTCTCCCTCCGGTGCCGGCCGGCCCAACACTTGGTTCCTAGCAATCGAGGAAGGGGCAGCCATACTTGACCCGCTCGGAAGGGTCAGAGGCAAGGTGGTAGGGCCCATAACGATGATTTGCCTACCGATGACAACCCTGGCAATGACAACGGACGCCTTGAGTGGACGCATGAGCTGAGAGATAGCCTTATGCATTGCTACGAGAGTAGTGAGCTCGAACGAAGAGGGTACATGGCGAGATTACATGCTCTGTGGTGTGAAACACATCCGGAGCATGGCGCCTTTTCCGCCCAAAATCTTAGGGATTACGTATCCTATCTTCGGCGGCAGAGCTATATAGCTCCTCCCCAGCCTGCTAATGAAGTGGTAGAAGTGACAGTTCTACCATCCGTTGGCACGGCTGGAGAGGAGACTCGCATCATGCCACCAATGGAGTCAATCAGAACACGCATGGCGCTCCACAGAATTAGGTCCCTGAAGCCACAAGAACTGGCTTGTTTGGATGCGAAGGTTCATACTGTTCTAACAGAAGAGGCTGACATCTGGAAAATCAAATCCCGGCCTTGCGGTTCGGAAGATTGAACGGCGTGTACACAAGATAGAGACTAAGATCACGTCGGCGAGACAACACGCGTCTCGTATCCAATGTGTGATGGATTACAGGGCGGCCAACAGGCCATTCACGCCCGCAGTGCGGCGAATAGCTGCCAATCTTCGACGTATCCATCACACTTTAAGTCAAGGCGTGCTGCTGACCACCAAACAGCACTGTCTTGATAGGATACGATAGGATGAGAACGAGAAGTATCGCGGAAAACCTTAGGTTCCGCGAGAAACCTTCTTGCTTATTCCAAGAGCCTCCACGTGTTGTGGATAATCCGCCGACCGCTGATCAGGTGGAATCCTTCTGGAAGGATATCTATGAACACCCGCAACCGCTCAACTTAAACACTCCAGCCCTAGCGCAGTTCGAAGCTTTCAACAGAGAGCTTCGACAGCCTGAGCTCAATGAACTGCGCAACCCGATAACCCCGGATGACGTTCGAAGAGCCCTTGTGGGTTCCAAGAACTTTACTGCTCCAGGCCCAGATGGGCTGACTCATTACATGGACCACGGGCTGTCGGGCAGTATTGATAATGGCCGGTCAAAGTGATAAATCAATGACTTTGCCCATCGCTCTTGGGCAAAGACCGGCAATAATGGCCGGTCCTTATTGATAATGCACTGTTATTCACGTTGCCCTTAACATAATGGCACAGTGAGGATATTGTTTCCAATAAAGTAGGGTTTGCAAGAATCTGTACGTTTAATTCCGAAAACAGGCGTATTATTCTCTTTTGTGATATCAGCAATCTTTGAGATGATACTGCATTACCCCAGACAACTATATTATAGGATATATGGGGATATATGAGGGCATAGTAAATATTAATAAGTTGAAGCTTATTGAATATGTTCTTCATTTGCAGAATGTCATAATACCCATTATTTATTTTCTTGCTGATATGATCGATACAATTTCTGAAGGATAGATTGGAGTCTAAGAACGTGCCTAAAAACTTCGTAAATTCTGATGTAATCAATGTCACATTACATATACGTATTTTCGGGACCATACTATTGTTTTTTATAGAGTATTGCGTAAGAATGGTTTTGTTGTGGTTAAGTATTAATCGATTAGAGACACACTAGTTACTGAATTTGTTATGAAGTTCGTTAACTTTCTCATCAAATGCACATTCATTTTCACTGTGAAATGCAAGAGATACATCATCGGCATATAATACTAAGCAATCGGCATTCATATACTCTGGCAGATCATTGATGAACATAAGGAAAATCAATGGACCCAGTATAGAAAGTTTAATTTTCTGGCTATATGTTTTCGATAAATCTCTGTATTCTATTCTAAGTGTTCATCTGTGAAATTGTTTTTGATTCCGTGCAAATTTTTCAGTTTTTCCCATTTCCATCGTTTCCTTAGTTATCCAAAATTTTTTTTGTTAGTTCTTCCATTTTCATTTCTTTTTACAAGTGGGCAATAGAGAGCGAGTGCATAGGTTAACTTGTTTTTGTCACATCAGAATAGGAACTCCTCTTTAGGGGGTTTTTATCTAGCAGTTTGATTATATTTTTTCGCGGAGTATTTCCTACAATCGTCTCAGCTGATGAAAATGAATCGTGATCACTAATGTCATTCGTTGCAGATTTCTCGGGCTCATAATTATTATGAGGATGATTAGCGAGCATTTTGACCATTTCTATATTACTTTCTTTTAGTTGATGAATTTTTTGTTTCAGAATGGCAATTTGTTCAATGAAACTATCACTATTTTTCTTTATGGCTCCATTTAAAATATCTTTCAATTCGTCCACACTTATGGTAATCATTAATTGGTGTTTACTAACCTCTGCTTTAACTGAACTCCTTGTCATTTTTATTTGCTCACTGAGAACTGGAACATCCAGCCTAGCAGACAGGTCTTACTCGCACAATAGTTACGCATTTCATTCAATATCGTATCCGTCTGAATGAGTGTAGTAAGCTATCCTTAAAAGACAGACATATGTCATACCTGACTTTTTTGTAGACCTGTAAAAGAGGAACAATATGTAAGTACTCTTGTACTTTGACAAAAGTTCTGTATCAAATATGCCTCTGAAAGAAGTTCCAGAGCTGAAACGAGAAGAACATTCTTATTTTTAACTCTGATGCCCTGTATATCCAAAACGGTTCGTTTTCGGACGTACATATCCTTCCTTATTTATCCTCATTTATCGAAAATATTTGTTGTAGATTTGTATAGATTGGTATAAGTTTTTGGTCTGATTTCAAAAAACCCAGAATTAAAAAAAATATTTTTATATAACGTGATCAACCGTCAACTGAACTGAATTAGTTACCGAATCTACAAATTATGGGTACAATAAGGTTTACTTCTAAGATACTTCAACATTGTTATTTATATTGTTGTTATTTTTGCAGATCCAGACGTTATGAATGCCATTCAGTGGTCTGAACATTTAGATCCGCTCTTTGTGAATAACTATGAAGGTGATCCGTCATTGTCTTGGCAGTTTTTTGGCAGTTCTACCGGATTTTTAAGAAGATATCCTGGTAAGAATGAACGAATGTAAAAACACTTTAATCGAAATTAGTCCAATGATGGTCACATATTTTTTCATAAACATATCCATAATCTTGATGTTTTTAAAAATAATTGATTTAGTCTTTTCCTCGGAAGTCATCAGAAACAGCTGAATTTTTTTATTTTTAATATTACTTGCAATGAGTAAACTTTTGAAGCGTGGACGAAATTATTTATATTGTTGAAATAATATATATTTATTAATAAACTGCATGTTTTTTATCTTCGTATATTAATGAGTGTAACAACAATCAGATATTTGGTTGTTTTTGATGAATATAACAATTATGGAACTGAAACATCTGTAAGAAATCGTAGATATATGTTATACCCCAATCTATTATTTATTTGAACAATGTAAGCTTATTAATTCAACTGAAGACATATTTTTAGAAAACAGCAAAAAATAAAATGGTTTATTCTAGATAGTGATTTTTATGATGTAGTTTTTGTAGCACAGTCTATTGATGTGATAGAGGTGTTATTATCATTTTCAGTAATGATCAGAAGTTATGTGTATCAGCTGAAACAATAAGAAATTGTTACTCTGACAATTCTCAGTTTTCTCAAAACTTCTCAAAAAGTAAAAGTAAAATTCATTACATAATAATTGATAGTTATAAAATTAAGACGAGATCAGTGTAATTCATGGCAAAAACCAAGGAAAGAAGAAAAAGTAAGGAAAACAGTCTTGAAAACGTTATAGAAATCGATTATTCAAATGAAAAGCATAATTCCAGAACACCAGTGAATTGGGAAAGTGACCTCAGTGATTCAGAAACCTATGTTGAATATAAAGTCTCAAAACACCTGACGATACAGTCATTACGAAATTTGTACTCAAGATGAAGAAGAGTGTCGTCCATCTATGAATGTTTCGGTGTCAAGGTCTAGTAAACTAGAAGAGGAAAATTCTTCATTGAATAAATAATAATCGACAAAAAAAACATTATATCAGAAAAATGAATAATGTAATGTAATAAATTACCCAATTTCATTGTATTGACGAGAAACATCTGAATTCAGGATCGATCAAAGATAAAATAGATGACTTGGAAGTCATAAAAATTAAATTTAAGGTAGACATAAAAACTTGGCTGACCAAAGAAGAAGAAGAATACTACAATTTCGAAAGATTTGCGTCAGGATTTTGCAGTAGAAAGCGAAGAGGTAGTAGTGACGGTATTTTCATTAGAACAAATTTGAATTTCAAATTGAAAGAAAAAAAAAAGATCTACTGACATTCATGGCTTTAAAAATCAAGTCACTCATCTGTGTTTCATGTAGTGTATATCGTTCACCTAGAGTAAATCATCAGAATTTCTTTTGAGTTTTTTGGATGATACATTTGAAAGTTTGAATTATTTCAAATGTGATATTTTCTTTTTTGCTGATATGAATATCTTATCAGATGATAGTGACACAAATTAATGGATATCTATAAACCCAATAATGTATTTCTAGTTAAAGGTTGGGAAATGTTGGGAAACAATCTAAGCCGCACAAAATTTGGTATTACAGATCTGTTGAGTGGAGGGATATTCAAGACCATTTTCGAAATTTTCTCTGGCTAGATATTTGTTTCAACTCTAATGATCCATCAACTTGTGCATTTAAAGTTATGAAAGTTATTCTATCATATATTCCATATATTCCTTTTTCAATGAAATGAACTTCTAACGGCAAACCTTGGTTCAACAAAGATTGCAAGCGAGCTGTCGCTTCCAAAAATCTCGTTCACCGGCAGTGACACAAAAATCCCAGGGCCGAAAATCGAACTAGGTTTGTTATTGCTCGCAAACTTAAAATACATGAAAGCAAAGAACTGCACAATCAGAGAATTGGGGATAAACAGCTTGCAATCCCAACGGGTCTGGAGTCTTCTGGTCAATAGCCAAAGCTGTTATTCTAAATGTTACAAAATCCACAATTTCACCACTAACATAAGCAGATAGTTCAATTGCAACAACAGCTATAGAAAGAGCAAATCTACTAGCTGGACAATTTGCGCCCCACTCCACAGTCGATATTCTGATAAAGGTACCACCCACTATTTCCACACTAGAATCCATAATGCCAGAAATTATTTTTCGACAACTTCCAGTCAGGCAAATTTTGAAACATCTCAATATCAACACGGTGTTTGACCCTGATGAAGTGCCCGTCATCCTACTTAAAAAGTGCGCCAATAAACTCGCACCAGTATTCTGTAGACTTTTCAAACTGTCTTATAAGAAATGTTGGAAGATTGCACGCGTTTAGCCTTTTCCCAAAAAGGAAAAAAAAAATCCAAATAACTAACGACCAATCGCTATGCTATCAGTTATATCAAAAATCATGGAGAAAGCCGTAAACCACCATATCCTTAAATATTTGAAAGGCTTCAACATCTTGAACGATCATTAATATGGCTTAGGCGACCTTCTATCGTTTGTCACCCATATTTGGAATGGAAACATGGAGAGGCAAGATTCGGCAGCAGGAGGTTGCATATCTTAATGAGGTGATTTCGAATTGTGGTGAAAGTAACTAAGTTCAATTCCATGCCACGAAATCCCAGGCATCGGTTTTCTCCAAGAAGATAAATATCTCCGAACCGGATATAATAATGGCAGGTCAGACAATTCCGCTTTCGCCTCGATAAGTTTGTTAAGGGTTAAAATAGACACCAATATGTCTTGAATTCATTCGTTGTGTGTTCTTCAAAAGTTGACAAAACGAATACAACCATCAATTGATAATGAGTTATCAGAGGTAATTGTTTTACGTTACAAAATCCCTGCAATGAGATTTCCATCGAAATGGTTTTAATATCCAGAAGGGATGACTGAATATTATAAATAACAAGAATTTATTTTTCAATATTGCCTCGTCCTGTGATAATTTGGCGTGCTTACTCACTTTTCCATATACATTGTTTCTCTCAACTTCCCAGATTTTAACCTTGTAATAAGTTGTGTATCTGATTTACATTCACTTTCTCCTAGCTAGTTCCATGAGTTTTACACTCCTTTCTATTTTTCACTCCGAAGCACTAAAAAATTTTTGTCTTTCGACTTAAACAACATTTGATTTTTTGTAGTGTTCAGAAATATGCTTCACAATGTCTTTATAAGTAGACTCTTCTGATTTATTCGGCCTCCGACAAATTATAAAGTTAATTTGCCCTCACATTCCATTCACTGTTTTAGGGTTACACACAAAATGAAAAAACCCTTAGCGATTTTCATTTACACATCAAAAAATTTAACAAGAATGAAGAAGTTACTCTTTCTTTTTAAAATGCCTAATTTTCAGAGTTGACAGAAAAAAATCATTTGGATGACATAGGCCTAGATGAAAAATCAAAAAATGATTTCAAATAAGAAGGTAAATTTGTTTCTAACGAAAACACGTTTCCTACACCCGAACTATAACATTATCTCTCTCGACGCATGTTTTACCGAATTAGCATCAGAATGACAGCATGCTAATTGGTTTATTTAAACGTGCGTCGAAAGACTATTATTTTTCTAGTGTGAAAAAAGTGTTTTCATCACATATATTTTACGCCAGATGTTCCAATTCTACCTGTCAAGAACATTTTCTTTACGAGTAATTCAATGCAACAACATGAAACAAACCATAACATTGTCAAAAAAAAAACTTCCAGGATATGACTCAAGCTCAAACAAGGTTCACCTCAACCCTTTGTACAATTACAAAATTTTAAAGCAGCTGATTTGAAGAATAAGAGGTTGAAATGGGATTGAAATGTGTAAAAATTAATTATCCAAAATAAACTCCGTATGTTTCGGGAAAAAAAAACCAGTATCCAGAAGAAATTTCATATACATACGTACATTTCGAAACCAGGTCAACTTCAGGCTTTCGATTCAATCAGTCGTAGATTGTAGGATCTGCCTATTGAACTTAGAATACTTTCAGGAATCGCATGGCCTCCTGAAGATATGTCAACCGTATGGCAAAGGCCTAGAACCAATAGAAATATTTATGATTTTCGTTCGTCCACTTGGTACGTGAATGCTGCAACGTCTCCAAAGGATATAGTCATTTTAATTGACAACTCTGGCTCCATGACTGGACATAGAGCAAATTTAGCTAGGGCTACTGTGGAAGCTATTCTGGACACGTTGTCTGACAACGATTTCGTGAACATCTACAAATTTTCTGATACCACCCAAGAAACAGTACCGTGTTTTAGAGACCTGCTAGCCCAGGTAATCTTATAAAGGGCGGGTTCGTTTCATGATTTAATCCATTGATTTTTAGGCTAATAGTGAAAATATACGCTACTTGAAAGACTCCATGGGGACTCTTAAACCAGAGAACATAGCCAATTTCACTTCCGCACTGATTACAGCTTTCGAAATTTTGCAAAAAGTGAGTATTCTCCTACTCATATTATTTTTAGGAAAATGATATAATCTGATTTTAGTACAACCGATCAGGACAAGGTTGTCAGTGTAACCAAGCCATAATGTTGATCACTGACGGTCCACCATCGACCTACAGCGAAATTTTCAAGATGTATAATTTTCCACATAGTCCGGTTAGGGTTTTTTCCTACCTCATCGGGAAGGATTTAAGTAGTGCTAGTGAAATGCACTGGATGGCTTGTGCTCATAAAGGTAAAATAACACCATACTAGTTAAGAATAAAATTAATGATACGATGGGTTTTAAGGTTACTACTCTGTGATCGAGTTCTATGATCAGATAAAAGAAAGTGTCCTGCATTACATTGAAGTCATGGCCAGACCGATGGTCATGTACCAACATGATCATCCCATTCAGTGGACACCAGCCTATGTTGGTGGAAGGGTAAGCATACCTTTATAAATTTTGAAATGTCGTCACGTTACCTGTTATGAATACGCCAGGGAATTCATTCGTTGTGTGTTCTTCAAAAGTTGACAAAACGAATACAACCATCAATTGATAATGAGTTATCAGAGGTAATTGTTTTACGTTACAAAATATTATTTATATACGTGGTTTGGCATTATATTTCAGGCTGATAGCTTTTCTGATGATAAGCGTGGTCAACTGATGACAACTGTGACCTCTCCAGTTTTTGATCGCCAAAATCATACGGTGAGTTGGCCCACTTGCACACTTTCCAATTTACTGAAAATAATTTGTATTCCAGGTGCGAGTTGCAAATGTTCTTGGTGTTGTCGGAACCGATGTTTCGATAGATCAAATAGGGAAACTAGTTCCACCTTATAAAGTGAGTTGAAAATCCCTTTTCAAATTCAATTAATGAGTTATCAATCATCTCACCATTGAGAAGTGCTAGACTCTTAAGGCTTTTAGTAATTGTGTTGACTGATACGGCAAGAGAAGTTACTATCTAGTCTTCAATTAGCTTCAAATTAGTTTTTCGACCATAACATTCAAATGCTAATGGATTTGAACATTTTCATGCGAATGAAATAATAAAATTGAAAATTATTTTCCAGCTAGGAGTTAATGGTTATTCATTCATTGTGAATAACAACGGTCATGTTCTGTATCACCCAGATCTGAGGCCGGTGGTAAGTAAATAGATGTTTTTATTGACTATCTTGTCAACATTTATTTTTTCAGGAGAACAATGACCTTTATGAAGATACCCTTGAACCCAAATACATTTCTGTTGATCTAACAGAGGTGGAACTAGTGGAAAACGAAAACGGTCCTAGAGAAAACCATACCTCACTTCTAGATGTAAGTTGAACTGAATCATTGGGATTTGAAATATTTTCAACTACCAATTACTGTACCTACTGTTATTAGCAAACAAAAAACTTCACGGAAAAAGAATAATATTTTGAAATCGAATGAATACTGAAAGGAAGTTTATTAAACAGCTTCTTCTCAAATAAAATTTTCATTTAATATTCCATAAGTTTTCATGATTTCTTGTGAAGTTACAGTAATCTAAAAATATTTTTTCCGGAATGTACTATACTTTCTTGATCGTATTATTAATAACTGTTATTTCAGTTGAGGCACGACATGATAGATCAGAAAGAAGGTGAAACAGAAATCAGCGTGAAAGTTCATTATGACAATATGGTAATGCAAATTTCTTTCGTGCTTCATTCAATTCACTAAGAAATTACATATTTTCAGCGTCGTGTCACTACTAGAAGAAACAAGTATTTTTATAATCCAATCGAAGGTACACCGTTTTCTTTGGGTCTTGCTATCCCGGAAGGGTATGGCATGTACGAATTGTTGGCTGAACAGGAGATCAAGCACAGCCAGAAAAACGGTGAGTAGTTTGTCCTAATGAACAGAAAACAGGTTTAAACGAGAATTACTTTCGTTGCAGTAAGCGATTATTTCAAGGGTAGCAACTGGAGGGTTCACCCAGACTGGTAATTATCAATAAACAAATTTTTAGCGCTGTAATTTCTTTTCAAATCTCTTGAAAAAAATTGTTTTCAACGAAAGTCCTTTTCTGATACACCAGAACTGCAACACTGCGAAGAAAGGATGAAATTGGCTTAACGCATTACCAGACAGTGTTGTTTCCACCTGCCTCAAGTATTTTCAGCGGAGCTAGGCTAGAACTACGAATGTATTATTGAACTCAACTGTCCTCAAAACATAGACATACGTGAAGACGCCATCTGAGGGATCGAAAGAAAATTCAAATGAAAATGACCTTTCCAGATCTATGTCATAGAAACGGAAAAAATGTATGACACAACATATGTCATATATGGCATATGATACAACAAAAGTTTCGGGTATTTATAATATTTATGGACTTCACAAATCATCGCAATTGGCTTTCATCGAGTGATTATATGGTATGCTTTCGTTGAACCCCTCTGGTGGAGTGGATCGTTCTTGCCTGGTGTGGTGTGGGAGCTGCACTTGATGGCTTACTTTGAGTAAAAAAAAAAAACTGTTTTTAAAATCTGTTTTCCGTTAACCAGCCGTCGCACCCCTACAAACGACAACCCTCTGAAGTCGAAATCAACACGGCAGTCAATTCGAGTGTGTGAACAAAGCACCGCCTGGCTACCGACCTACCAGTTAACATCAAACAACAACTGAACTTCGTCTCCAACGAGTCGGTAGTTCACATAAAAAATGTACAATAAAAACTTTTGTTTTTATACATGATCAGATATCTAACACCTTCCCCTTTTAACAATTGAAGTAGAAAACAAAATTGGCTGCATCTGATAATTGAGAAAAAAAATATATATAACAAAAAATATCAATATGTCAATTTATCTCGAGATCGAATCTGACTACACCTTTTAAAATCCTATCATTATCAGATTTCACACTTGCCTGGTAACATCTAATATGTCAGCCGCCTCCGAAGATGAGATGGTAGAGCGAGGTATTATATTAATTGCCTTATCCATCAATTTACTTTCAAAAGTCTCATTTGCTTTCAGTGGTTTTTTGTGTCTTTTCCACTTTAAACCTACCTATAATATAAGTTCTACTGCCATTTTTTTATTATTCCTTCACATCACGGTGACTTCCTTGGTCTGAAATCTCTCACTCAAACCTTTTCTAGTTCATTAAAAATAATATCCTTTTTGTAACCATAATATTTCATTTGATATTCCTGTTCAATAATAATTTAATTGGTGTCTCCCCGGTGGTAGTGTGTGGTGTATTTCTGTAGTAAAATAAAAAACAATCTATGATATGGTTGATACATCTTACGTTATCTTCTTCTTTACCTTAGGACTTTTTATTATTTTGACTGCTGATTCTGCCAACCCATTATTGGCAGTTTGATATCTTGGTTTAAACAAAAATTGAAAATCATTTATTTGAAAATATTCCTTCCACTTGTAAGTGGCCTCCTCCAAAACTGAAAAGTAACTGTTAAAGATTTGACTAAAAAAATCTGTGTGCATCCTTGTCCACACTTCTTTGGGCCAATCCTAAGACTTCAGCGATATTCTCAGTAGATTATTGAAAAATTTTGCACAAATTTCACAAGCCTTTGTTACTTCTTCAATGTTTGCGTCCATTGACGTGAAAATACGATATAGAATCAAATGTCTCATTATAGTGAATTGATGAACCAACATCATTATTTTTCATATCTATTTTTATGCGTTAAAAAAAATTAATAGTGGAACTTATATTATTCAGATTGTTTACTTATTGTATTAGTTTGAGAATGTCCATATAGGACGAAACTGCAGTAACGTTAGTTACAATTAAAAGTGGTAAAAAACATAGAAATTTTCATTTCTCTTTTCATTATGATCTCCTACCACGTAGTAACGGCTACATCCATTAATTTATTATTCGCTTTACTTATCACCCCCAAGTGAAACACACAAGTGTTTTCTTCGCAAAGGTTGCTCTTCGCGGGGTTTCTCTTCTTGGCTTCACCCTAAAAATCCAGCTAGCCATCGAGCTCGGCATTGATTACTAAAAACTGGAACTAGTACGGCATGGTTGTTCATTTTGGAATGATTGATTTAGTTGACCCTGTCGTGTTGCTGAATACCCAGATTACTCATTTACCATGTCACGAAAAACAATAGTACAGGTGATATCTGCATATAAGAGAAATATTATTCTCAGATTATTCTAAGAATACTTTAGTAACCCTGACTAAGTCGGTAAATTGTCGATCTGTCGATGGACGTTATACGTATGTACGTTTTACAAGATTTTTGGGACAAGTCATATAATATGGAACAGACAGTTTTGGTGTAGGGGGGAAAGTGTTTTCGTTGGATTCGTTCTTCACGCCAGAGATTTTGATTTCTCGCGGTTTTCAACCGTAGTTTTGATTGAGTTTGTTTGCATATATATCTTTATTTGTCGGTTTTTTGCATGTTTTCGTGATCGAATTGAAAAATTACTATTGTCAAGAATATTTTTCATTTCAATACTGAATTAAATTAATCAGCCGTTCTCAGGTGTCCTTCAGTCCTAATTATTAATTTTTTCAAGGGTGTACTGTGAATACACAACTGGTACATCAGGAGAACAATGGTTCAAAACGGCGGAAGAGCGCGTTTTGCACTTTCTTTCAAGAACTCGAAGACCTGGATGGAAATGGATGTCATTGAGGCCGAGGTCACCTTTACAAAGAGAACAGCACCATCATTTGTCAACAAAACAGGATAAAGATGCGTATTACTGTGAGTAAAATATTTCGCCAACAAAGCTTTCTCCTCCGATATACAGGGTGATCAGTATCATACGGTATTTTTAATAATAACCTTATGCCAAATTTCAATTTGCCATCAATTTCTGCTTCGATCGAGATGAAAAATAGCATACAATTATCGTGATTTGCATTATCTGTCGAGTTTTTTTCACAAAAATTTCTTAAGATGGAGTTATTTCTCAAATTATAAAAAAAATCAGATATACGAGTAGAAGATTTTCGTGTGTTTTGCCTTTTTTGTAAATTGCCCCACCCTACAGAAAACCCTTCAGTTAAAATATTTTTATTCCTGACTTATTTTATTTGATGTGGCATAATATTAAATAATAAACATTCAATATAATGTCAATTTGTGCTATTGAGATTTGGTTACATGTGATTCAAAGTTAGCTTATTTCTGACCCTGTCTAAGCTAATTTGAAGAGGTAGTTTGTGTATAAAAATTGTTCATATCAATTTTATGAAAACGGTTCAATCAGAAGCAGATAAAGTTTCCTATAAAACTAAATACACTTTTCGTTAATTCAAACGTAAATTCATTTTGCACTCAGTGCAGATTTTACTGGTGAGAGAGTGAATTTGTTTGTTTCAATTGTTATGTTATACTTTAAGATACAAACGCTGGTAGAACGTGGTCGAATGAAACCTGGAACGTTTGGTAGTAACGTTTCGTCTGATACTGCGGCAGACATTATCAATGGTATGTGCGTTGACTGCGAGAACGAGGGTTATTACTCAGCAACAACTGACTGGCGAGCTACGTGTTTCAATGATTTCAGAGGGTGACGGGGGTGGTTTGGCCGATGTTGGTGATAGTGAAGGGGGCGATGGCTGCAGGTCTATGCAAATGCTCACTTCTCATTGTCCCGCAATTTTGTTTGATCGTTCTGATTGGTCCTTACTGTTACGAGGTTGTTCTGATTGTTGACAGGTGGGATGTCGATTGGAGTTGTATTCTAGTCCATTCCTGGCCGTCTTGAGTATTGAAGACTATGGGCTGTTGTCCCGTATACCTTTTTATTTTCTGTTGAAATCGTTGGGGATGCTTATAGATCTCAATGTCCTCCCTAGGACGTCGTGTCTGGTAGAGTGTTGAGTTAGACAGATCAGCAATTTCTTCGTATTTTAATTCATGGTCTGTGTATACTAGAACATGTTCTGCAATTGCAGATTTCTTCGGTTACATGAGGCGGCAGCTACGTTTGTATTCTTGTATCCTGGTTTTGATGCTACGTTCGGTAATTCCGATGGAAAGTGAGTTTTTTTTTTCTTGGTCGATATGATAGTATTGCGTAGTTCATTATTTGGGTTATAAATGATCTCAATATTGTGACGAATAAACAATTTTCCGATGCGGCCCGCATCTTTATGTAAGACAAATAGACTGTATAGTCGTAACTTGGTCAAAGTTGGAGTATTTCTTCATCTGAGATGTAGGACTCGTTTGATTTTTTTGCGCTGTTTAACCGTTGGTCTATACCGCTTGGTCCAGATGACAAAGTTTTTCTTCAAGAAGTTGTTCAAAAATCCTGGGGACGCAATCAACATTATAGAACGTTTTTGTCCTTTATGGTGGTTTATGTTCTGACTGACATACCGATCAGTATGATTAGGTTTGCGATAAACTGTGTGACCTAGTTTTCCGTCAGTTTTTAAGTTGACCAGTACATACAAAAATAGTATCATTCCTCTATTAAACTTTGCACTTGATGTGGCGTAGAAATATTTCTAATGCTTGTTTCCCGTACCTCCAAATATCAAAAGTATCATCAACAAAGCAAAACCAACAGTTAAGTTTCGACAGAGCGGTGCGGACAACAAATGCGTGCAATTCCATGATTTTGAAAATTGTGCTTGCAAGCAAATGCTTGCTGCTTGTATATTGATTCGAAATAAAATTCCGAGTAATTTGATCAAATTATCATACATTCTAGTCATTTACACAGCAAAATTTCGAGAATTATCGATTTGCATACACATCAACCGGTTACACGTGATGCACCTGGAATATATTTCGATGAAGAAATTGATGCCAAAGTCAAATTTCGAGTTATTCATAAAAAAAACCCACAAGGCGTGATCGTTACTGATCACGTTGTTTATCAATACTGTTGATGCACTGTAGGTAATTTTATCTAAAACTAGTATGTTGATTTTCTAAAGATGTGGTCATTCTGAATAATTGCTTGCAGGCGACAAAACATTATTACAATCCCTCGTACTGGATGCGTTGGTAACAGAAGGTTTAGAAAAGCACTCAATTCAACCGGGACAACAGTAAGTTATTGAAACTTATGTCATGCATGTTTTGGAATTATTTAAATATTTTTATTTTCATGCACCTCTTATAATGATTTAACTAATCAGTTCTCTGCACAATAGCCCTATTGGCAACCTTATGGTACAATTGCAAAGGTAAAGATATTTTCTAGCGAAAGAAGAATTTATTATTGTAGATGTTATGTTATAATGATAGTAACTATATATATGGGATCAAACCCTTAGGAAAATCAATGTTAAGAACATTATGCCACATAAACTGTTCTTGGCCTTGAGAGAAATTCAATATTACACCCTATATTTGATATAGATAGATTCATACTCAACATTTATTGTCTTAACTTGGGAAAAAGCAGATACAGATTTTTTTCGAATATTCAAAACATACCGGATTGTGTAGATTTGAAAGAAAAATTATGAATAACAGTTATGTCAAAATGAATTACATTTCCAGTATCCTTTTTCTCTTTTCATCATATTATTAGACAAATTATATTAATGGATCGTGTGGTTTAATTTTTCAAATACTTACATATTTCGCGTGAGAGAAAGAGAGAGAGGGAAGAGTATTTTTGCTTTGTAGACTGTAGTGAATTTTCCAAAATCATATTTAGCTTTCAAGGATTTCGTGAGTATTGTGTTATCACTACATTTGTATGGAAGATAATTTTCTACTGTTTGGCAGAATGTTTGAAAGTCAACGCGATATCATCATTTTATTATTACTCACGTAAACCCCTATATTATGACTCTCATTACCAGTTTTGACGGGATAAATATAGAGGTTATTTTACTCACTTTTACTTTTAGAAGTATACTATGTGTTCAGTTTCCTTGTTGCAATTTTATATTTTCGACCTAAACGTAATGTAACTGATTCTAACTCAGTTAGTTCTGAGGTCAGAGTGTTTGAAAGCCCGAGTGACTTTTATTTTTTATTTTTTCATTTCAGTTCAATTCCATATAGTGTTTAATATATATTTTTACCAGAGACAATGTTATGTCTTTCTGTCACGAGAAGTGGTTTCAATGGCTACATCTCGTCAATACTGATTTCGACTCTGAGACTAATAATGTTATTAAAGGAGACACAATGATTTCTCTTGTCATCATGTACTAGCAAAAGTGTACAAATTTTGACGTGAAACAACGTATTTGTTTAATAAAACTTTTTCATCAATTCTTTTGAGTTACTCTTCTAGTATTTTGAGGTAACCACGCCGTCTGCTTCGGTAATCAGTTTTTGAATTTTGTCAATCTGTATGTCAATTCGTCTGGTGGAAAGACGTGTCTCTGCGTTGAAGATTCGGGTTGATTTGTATTTGGAAGTGTTTTATGTCGGTGCATTTGTGGTTTCGAATATGGTCTCAAGGGCTTGTTGAATATGGATGCCAAGGTAGACTTCCACTAGGTTTTCTGAACAAAGGATATAGTCGATGATTGAAGGCGTAGTGGCTCAAAAACTTCGGATCTCGACATGGGATTCCCTTGATGTTATGTTCTATAATTAATTATAAAGAAGGCGGTCGTTGGTGTTGGAGACAATCTATCTATTGGAAGGTTTTGGAAAAGGTTTTATATTTTTTTAAAGAAGGCAATGTTTTATAAGCATGGCTATGCCGCGGAAGTAGACTTTTTTGGGCCGGTGAATGGTGCGTTACATCCGGAGAAGTTTGGAGGATTTTTGGTAGAGAGTATCGGATAGATAAAGAATATGGATATTGTAAGAAAGTAGCCATTATTTGATATGGTACCGTTTTTGGGAAAGATTTTGAGCCTTTATAATACCGAGGATGAACTGTCCATCATCAGGATCGACTGGGTGTTCAGCCATTAACTTCGACGTTCATTTCGGTAACTGAGATTTCATTAACACTGACCGTGACATAAAAGGCGTGGCCGAAGATGATTTTTAAAAAGTCGTTCGTACTTTTGACAGTTCCAGTCCTTTTGAAGGGAAGTAGGTTAAGTAGGAGAGTGGTTTTGATTTGCTTGTTATGGACAATGGGGATTGAAGGTTTCTTTATTGTCAACACAGAGATTTATTTTAGGGTCTTTACGAGTGGTGATTCTCTTTGGATATATCAGAGAAGATGCTGGTGGTCACCTTTGCAGTTTGGAAAGAAGGGTGTAGTTATTCAGCGGATATAGTGAAGAAGTGCGCCTCTACGCATTCGGACATTTAGTAGAGTGTGTGGAATATTTTTGAGCCGGATGTCCCGTGGTGCTGTGAATTTTGTAGTTTTAAGAGGTTTGAGGTACGGAATTAGTGCTAGAGGCACCCACTCATGGGTTCTGCCAAATATAACAATGCCGAGGTAAATTTTGGTGTCGTCCAAGATTTCAGTGATTTGTTCTTCTCATTGAAATTCACCTAAACTTCCAAGATCTGGCTGCGAAAGATCTCCATGGTGTTAAGAAATTTGTAAAAATACTTTTGGGTGGCTGGAGAATTCCTTATATGAAGAATTTTTTCTTGTTGTTTGAGATGCAGATCGAAGCGTTGGTTATCGTGCTAGACTGATATCACTTATTAACGTCACAGCTGACGGACTGGCTTCAATCACAACTACCTGTTTGCTCTGTTACCTGAGTTTTATCTCTGGTGCAAGGGGTTAGTTTTCAATATCTACACCTAAATATTTTACCTCTGATTCCTTTATCGGGGGAGTCTGTTTTGAAAAAAAAAACATGGACTTTATACGCGACTAGGCTTTGAGGAGATATTTGTGTTTGGATCTTCACGTTGGTCACTGGTTGCACTGGTCACTTACTATTACTAGCACTTCGTTGGCTTAGAGAGCTGGGACTAGAGTCTACGATTTAAAGTTTACGTATGTTTCAAATTTTATACTGGATCGACAGAATGTATCCATTGTTATTGTGTACCCCATTGACGTAGCCTAGTTCTTTAATGAGGCTATTCGCTTTCTTGCAACTGAATGCTTGATGATATATAGATATATATGATTTATATGAAGGTTGGATTCAAAATTTTTATTTGAGTGAATTATGAATTTCACAGATGATCCTATGTTATTAAAGTGTTGCAGAAAACTAGACGTGAGGTCTTTTGTCACTTTCTTCGATATGCAGCGCCTCAGAGCACCTCATGTATATGTTGGCTATTATAGATGGTAATGGTTATTACATTCAAAGTCCATTATTGTGTGTGAAGAAGTCTTTCTTCAGATGAAAGTGGCGGATTTGAACGCTGAATGGTTGAATTGTGCCATGTTTCGGTTTGTCTCTGACATTTTCTCCTGAATGTTTCAGCCTGAGCTTCGTTGATGAATGAATTGGTGAATTCACCACCGCTAATGATTTTCAATATTGGCATCTTAGTTAGCAAAATTATGGAGTTTTGGTCTGTCTCAATAATGGGATTATCTCAGGGAGTGAGGGGTAACTCATGATATTGACAGTTTTATTGTCCTGTTTCTGATCTTTGAGAGGGCATTGTTTTTTGAGTATCAGGTTTCCCTTTTTCATATTATGTATTAATTTTCTTGGGTGAAAATACCAAATATGTAATTGAAGAACCAAAACCTGCTGTCATTTGTGTTTTATTATTGTTTGAAATTATTTGAGAGATCAACGTTTTGATTTGTTTTTACATTTTGTTCTCTTTTTAGAACTTATGTCATCTTTGTGTTAGATCACTTCAATAACTCCATCAGCAAAAAAATATTATATAGAAATTTCAAAACACAAGCAGTGTTTTCCACTGTATAATTCCATAATACCTGATATTATTTTAGACAGCGTCTTTTCAAACAAAACTGAAACAGCTCTACTAAGCTTCTGGTCCTGAAAAATACATGTTATCGTACTTAAAACATTAGCCAACGAACTTGCAGTAGTGTTATGTTTTACAAAAAAGGGGTGTTTCCTTTGTGTTGGAAAACCAATCGAATTCAGTCCAGGAAGTCTTCCAAGTGTGGACCAGTTTTCTCACTATCATTGATATCAACAATGATAGGAGGTTGTAAATCAACCCATTATAGGATATTTGAAATGCTCAACATCATCATCGATCATCAATATGTTTTGCGGAAGCGAAGACTGATAGGAGATTTTTTATATATGCCACCCAACTTTGTTACGATGCAATCGTTTACCATTTTAACTTGTCCGCTTGATTTCGCCTGAGACGATATATCAGAAGTACATGGCAAAATGTAGCCTATTGAGGTTCGAAGTTCAACTCAACACACCTCAATCTACAGTTTTTAAGGATTCTTCTTTGAATTGAACTGAGTTCTGGTAAAATTAATCATCCTAGACGGTTTCTCCAAATTGATGTCATTTACAGCACAGGCACTCTCAGAGAGTTCCAAGGTTTTTCTGCATGCCATGTGAAATGAATAAATGGAGTTGGAACCTTCATTTCGTCTCAGTTAAGATTGGAAATCACAAAATCTTATGATCTAACAACGCTATTTATAACCTGATCAAATTGTTTTGAGTCGTCGCAAGTGTTATTCAGTATTTCAGCCTAATTATCAATTATATTCCTATTATTAGGTTGTTTCAAAAGTTGTGTCTGTTTTTATGAGTACTTTGAAATGTAATATCCCAATTTGATCGAAATGAGCGCCATTTGAATCAGTGCACTTTCGCCAACGTAACACAAGTTCATTATTTCCGTCAGCACCAAAATTGGATCCTCGGAATTCGATGAACTCGATGAAGGCCGTTTTTGCCTGGACCTGATTGGCGAAGGTTCTACTGATGAGAAAGTTATCGAAGTGCTTGAAAAGATGATAGTTGGTTGGTGGGAGGTCTGAGGAGTTTGTGGGTGAGGCAGAACTTCGACGCTCAATTAATTCGTTCGATTTTCGGATGGTGATTTGTGAAACGTCTATACGTTTCATTGTCATTGAGCATGATCGAACTTCTTCTATTGCTCAGTGCAGGTGTCTCATCGGTGTCTAACCACTGTCCTGAACGTATCCTTTTGTCGTAGAGGAGCCACTTTTTATCACACGTGATAA